TCAAGATGCCAGTGTTGGTTGTTATGCTATGCCTCAGGCTTTAATTTAATTTTTGGCCTGTTTTGTTTTTAAATTCTCTTTCCCTCTTTACAGCCCTGTCCTGCCCTTTCCCTTATTAAAAAACAAAAGAAAAGACAAACAAGCAAAAAACATTCAGGGTGGCTCTTGGGCTGATTATCTGTGCGCATGCGTGGCAGAAGAACCCACCAGTGGTGAGGGTGAGGGGTGTCCACTCGCTCAGGCTCCCTCTCTAGTCACCAGAATGGAGGTGGGCAAACAGTGGGTGCACCAACGACCAGGTACCAAAAAAAAAAAAAGAAGAAGAAAATCAGAACAAAGCAAAACTGACAAAGTGTATTGTCCACCTTTGATCCAAGGTTCCCGTGGCATTTTCCCGTGGTATTTCTGCTTCCCCACTTGGTTTTGCCATTTGGTCTCGCCCAAGATGTCCGCTTCGGGCCTCCGAGTCCAGCCCGGCAGATTAAAAAAGTAAGCGATTTTTTTACCCTAGCTTCAAGTTCGACAATCTGTAAACTGTCAAACCTTCAAAATATTCCTATCTCTGTGTTTCCAAGTTTTGGAGCTCTGCCCTGGATCTGCTTTGCCTGGTATTGTGTGGTATGGCTGACCCGTCCCTTCATTTCTTATTCAATATTGTGAAGGAGTAATTATTAGCTGTGTCTTTTATATGAAGCATTGAGTTATGGCATGCTTTGTGAGCTAATAAAAATTCGTCTCCTTTTTTTAAATAAGTAGATGAATTAAGTTCTTTTATAATTTGTTATATCTGTAATGTATGTATGTGTGTAGTTTCTTGTAAACTTTTACACTCCGTGGTCTGGTGCCTCTGTTCATCATGCTGTTTTCATCGTTGTACTTGTTTTAATATTTATTTTGCTATTTTGAAAGAATTTTTTTCTGGTAGTTTTTTGTATTCCTATCTTTTAATAATACCCTTTGTCCTACATATTTTTGTTTAGCTTTATTTGTCCCTATTACGAGAAAGTAGAAAATCAATTTACAATGTCTTCCTTTTTTGTTTCTTTCCTCTCCAACATGATCTAATTTTGTTCAATTGTAAGCTCTTTCTTGGTATTAATATTTATATTTTAAAGTATATTTAGAATTTTATTATTCTATTTTAGTTATCAATTATATTATTTGAACTTTAACTTACAACCTCTGAAAGAAGAAACAAAGAAAGAAAGAAAAAAAGGAGGAAAGATAGGGGAAAGGAAGCAAGGGATATAAAGCAATTGAAAATTTTAGCCTGTAAAACACTATTCTGTCATTATGAAAAGATGAGACAAGCCCATGTGTGTATGCTGGTGGGTCAAACGTATATTATTTAGTAAAAACTGCAAGTCCCAGAACAATATATACAGTATGATGCCATTTAATACGTAGGTATAAATATATATCTAAAAATACATGTGGGTATATATTAGTACATGTACTTGTGTGACACTGTACTGCAAACCACAAGGTCAATGGTGCAAACCATCTGCTTCTTGGAAACCCTGTACAGGGTTGCTATGAGTTGGAATTGGCTCAACAGCACTTAACAACAAATTAGTACATATTTAAGTTTATATATTTAACTTTGGAGAGATTAAAGGGAAAACTCTATATAGTGTTGATTTCTAGACTAAGGTTGTGTATTTGGGGTGGGGGAATAAAATGAATTTTCATTCTTCATCCTGTTTATATTTATATTGTTTGAACTGTTTTACGATATGTATGAGTTGTTCTTATATTAGACAAAAATAATAAATTATTTAAAAATTATGGTTCTTGAAATATTTAGTCATAGAATAATAAGAGAGTTCTGATATGTTGCTTTGTAGGGCAAGCAATGGATTGCTAACCACAAGGTTATTTATAGCAACCCTCAACACAGGGTCGCTATAAATAAGAACCAACTTGACAGTACTTAACAACAACAATAAAAACATGTAAATATGAGTCTTAATCAAATAGAAGGCAATGGGTTTAGAGCAGACTATGTAAATCTATTGACTGAATATTCTTCCATGAGTCATTTTGCAAGTATTCAAAAACAAATGAAAACACCTGTTAGATTGAAACCTTGAATGTTGTCTAATAACTAGTCTTAAATTTATGTTGGAGAGAAAATATTAATTAAGTAAATTACTCTTCAGTCTTAGTTAGATTTTTCACACTCCAATTTTCCTCTAAAGGAAATATACTTGGTTCCCTGAACTCAGTTTTAATGTATAATGTTCTCCAGTGTTCTGATCTTTTTCTATGAAAAAAATACAGATATTTATGAATTTTTAATATTTCTTTGAAAAATTACAATTTCTCTGTGCAGAACCAGGCAGAGCCCCTCTAAACCTTGGAAAACTCTGGGGCAATCACCATGTTAGTGATTCTTTGTTCTTCAAATTAGTGCTTCTATATCACACAGATGGCAAATTATCTAAGCCAGAGTCAGATGGATCACAATCAGCCACAGCATAATGTTATTTAAAAAGCTGAGTGGTAATCATCACAACATTATCCTCAACACCTCATACATCTTATTAAATGGAAAGTTCAATTAAACTTTTACAGTCACCCAATCACCTTTCTGGACTGTGCTTCTTTTACCAGGCAGCTTTTATTATTATTTATTTCTTTTAATATTATCCTTGGTCACATAAAGCAATCCTCATCTTCTAACATCCCTTATTTTCTCACTCTATGACTCTTTTCACCTTCCTCCAATCTCCTCAATCCTTTCAATTCTCCTCCATCCCCCATTTATTATTACACATTATCAGCAGTTGATTTTCTCTGCTTCACAGAGGATATGAAAACCAATGATAAAAGAAATGATATACCGGTATATGACAGGACAAATGTAAAGCTAATGTTCTACCATGTAAACTATCACATAATTCACAATAAAACATTTAAAAAAACAACATATGATATGAATGACCCCATTCCAGTCACAAAACCAGTCTCATCCAAAAACTATCCCTCTGCTTATGCCATGGACTCATCTCCTCCTTCTTTTACATGAGTCTTTTGCAATATTTTTTCACTGTCTTCCACTGGACCTTTTTTTAGTGACTCATTCCCATATAATTTAAGCATACTCAAACAAATGTCTCCCATTTTGCTTAAAAACACCTGATTTTTATCTCTATCTCTACCTCCATAGCATCCTTGTTGACTAAATTTATGTCTATGTTTTTCACCTTACATTTATTTCTCTAACTGCTCCAGTCTCAAATTTCATATGTAATGACACTGATTCTTTCAAGGCAATCAAAAATATCCCAAAGCAGCCAAGGTGGAGCAAATAGCTCTATTGAAATCTGCTTGGTGACACCTAACAGCAATAATATCCAAACAGTCGTGTCAGGCCCCATCTCTTCTGGTGTTTCTTCTACCAGTCCAGCCACTTCTTCGTTATCTTTTCCTTCGTCACAAATCTTCGGATTTCCTCAAAATCCTAAACCATGACTGCATTTATCCTCACATTGAAAAACATTTCTATTACCTTATTTAATGATGATTTGAATTATGCCTATTACTCATTCTGATATCCAGGTGCATATAGCTTTCACTGTTCTCAGGGAGAAATAAGCAGGTAAGAGGTTTTGAGGAAGTAGTCTGAGAGCCACACTTTAGAAGGGAAAGGAAGGAAGCAGAATAGGAGCTTGAGCTGCAATGCAATTCCAACTGAAGCTTCTGACAACCTGACAGGGGTTTTTTAAATTGGAATTGACATTTTGAGGTATTCTAAATTGGAATGAGGAGCCCTGGTGGTATAGTGAGTTACGTTTTGGGCTGTTAACGGTAACATTAGTGATTCAAACCTTCTAGCTGCTCCACATGAGAAAGATGAAGTTGTCTTCTCCCTTAAAGATTTACTGTCTCAGAAACCCTAAGGAGCAGTTCGACACTATCCTTTAGAGTGGTTATGAGTGACAGTCAACTCAATGGCAATGAATTTTGTTTCAGTTTGGTTTGTTTTAGTTGGGGTGAGAGTGCCTTCCCTTTGTACCTTCAGTTGTTTCTGTGACCAGTCATTGCTGCAGATTTCTCTAGGAAGGAACCTTTCAAATAGTGAGCTGGTAAATTAGAGCTTTCCTCCTAGCTGAAGGAAGTCTACATGGCTCATCAAACCATTTATGTCCACCCCACATGTGCAGAGCAGAACTGCTCTTTAGGGTTTTCAAGGCTGTGGACTTTTAAATGCAGATTGTTAGGATTATCTCTTAAGGCACCTCTGGGTGCATTTGAACCATCAGTCTTCCAGCTAGTAGTCAAATGCTTAACAACTTGTGAATGTATACTTATATTTGCATCCTTTGCCACTCATAGTGACCCTTTATAGGATTTATGAGGATCAACTGTTAAGTTTGAACAGTTGATCTTTTGGTTCTAACCAACCTTGAAGTCCAGTGCTTATCTTACAACATTACACCAAGATGCCACATTTGCTAAAGTAAATCCTCTAATATTATTCAGTTTCTAATCTCTAGTGTTTTTTGTTCTTCAATGTTGACATAAATTAAAAGCAACAAAAAGCCCATAATGTTAAAACAGACATCATAGACAAATGTGATATATTTGTACTATTTTGAACTATTTGTACTATTTTCCTAATTGTTGTTAAATGCCATCGAGTCAGCTCTGACCCATAGTGACCCTGTATAGTGTTTCCAAGGAGCAGCTGGTGAGCTTGAACCATTGATCTTGCAGTTCAAATGACTTTGCAGTCTGATGCATTAACCCACAGTGCCACACCAGGACTCCATTTTCCTAATGGACATTAGGAAAACAATATGTTGATCAATATTTAACAAATAGAAAGCAAATGGATGATCTCCTTTCATCCAAACTAGAAATAAGACAACAATAATTTTTTCTTACTTTTATTTTTAAATAAAATGTTCAGCATAAACAATTAAGAATTTAGCTCAAAATTTCAAGGATGTAAAAAGCAATGAACTTTGAATTCAATAGTTTTCTTCTAAAAGTCATTTTTTATAAAGGATTTTATGATGTGTTGAAGTATTTTTCTCTCTGCCATTCATTTCATGTCTTAAGGGTTGCTGTTAAGACAGAATTCTTGATTTAAAAAGAGAGAAAAATGATTTTAAAACAGAAATTATTTCTAGCCATTATATATTATATTTTCAAACCTTCAGCATCTAATTTAATAACTGCTACAACTAGGTTCTCAATAAAGAAAGTAACCATACTTTGTAAACAATACCACCCATTCCTTTTTGAATGCTCAATGTCATTTATGCAGTGAGGTAGATGGAGATAAGTCATATCTCTATTTACATATAAAATCTAGCAAATCTCCACTATTTTGTTTTTTTTAACATCTTTTGTCAATTTATTCCTTTTCTTCTTAGAAATGAGAAGACTAATATACGCTAAAACTTACTGAAATAACATACAAATTTTTCTACTCATGTGCATTTTACAAATATTTTTCCAAGAGGTTCAAGGTAATTAAAAATCTGTTTTTATGTAATTAACAAAGTTCATTTTTGCAGTTGGTAAAGTGGTTCTGTATGCATTTTGCCATTGACTGTTTTTTAAATATTTGTACTTGAATACAAAGTATAATTTCCACTTTACATAACATATTAAAAAAGGATAAAACTCTGGTTGTATAAAATAATTTATATAGAGAATTATTATTATTATTATTTTTTTAAGAACAGAACAGAAATAATTCTGATTCATCAAGTACTATAAACTATATTTTTTAAACTGTTTTTTGATAAACACTTCAGTAAATTATTCCAAATTTGTATATACAAGTTTGATTATGAAAATAAGTATCATTTATTAATATGCTCTTGCCTCAGGAGAAAGGTTCGTAATGTTGTTTGTCCAACATTTACTAGTTATGTATGAACTTATACAGGGAAAAGTGAGGAAAGTAATTTTCTCATCTCAGAACATAAAGGTTGACTCTTCCATATTTAAATATCTTTCACATAAAATTGATTCATTTACCCGACTGCCAAAGTATTATAAATGTCAATTGGCAAACAATACTTTGACTTCAGATGACTTAGACAGTTTCTTTAATTAATAATCCTAGAAGTTTTCTTGGATTTGTGAATAAGAAAAGATGATCTTTTTGGTTTTTCCAAACAGTAAGCTAGGTATTCTGTAGAACCTATCATTTCTAAATTATAGTATAAAGAATCTTTTGAATAATAATCAGATACAAAAAAATATTGGTAGATGCAAGCCTCTTCTTACCTTTCTCTCAGAATACACCTTGGATATTTTAATTGTCCTCTGTTACAGGGCACTCTAAGTTCAGATCCTATAATAGATGATGTAGCTATATAAGTATCTCTTCCACAAAGAAACTCAATATACTCGCCATGCAAAATATATGGTCTGTTGTCAAAATCCCATTTCAGAAGTAAATTATTCTTTTCCATTTCAACAAAAGATAAAGTGCAAGGCTCTGGAAAAAAAAGGAAAAAAAGGTGTCAATATGTTTTGCCTATGTATGATGAGCTAAAAAAAATAAACTTCCGACTTTGAGAATGGCTAGTAAATTAGTTAGGATTAATACTGCAGTCATATAATATGTTCAAACTACATAGAAAACATCTGCTACTGATCTCTGTGGTCCTGGATTAGGAGAAAGGGTAGAACCTGTTGTTCATCTAGTTTTGTGAAATAAGGATTTACCAAAGTGGCACACAAATACACATATACAGAGGTGTTTGTATGAAGCATTCACAGCTAATAATTGTCACTGAAGTAATGATTTTCTCCCTTTTTTTCCATGTTGTTGTTAGGTGCCATCAAGTCGGTACTCACAGTGACTCATAGTGACCTTATGCACAATAGAATGAAACACTGCATGGTTGTACACCAACCTCACAGTCATTGCTATGCTTGAGCCCATTGCCTCTGCCACTGTGACAGTCCATCACGTTGGGAGTCTTCCTCTTTTTCACTGACCACCCACATTACCAAGCATGATATCCTTCTCCAGGGACAGGTTCCTCATGATAATATGTCCAAAGTATAAGAGCCCAACTCTTGTTATCCTGGCTTCTAAGGAGCATTCTGGCTGTACCTCTTCCAACACATACTTGTTTGTCCTTCGAGCAGTCCATGGTACTTTTCGTATTCTCCTCAAACATCATTATCTCAAATGCATCAATTCTTCACTGGTCGTCTTTATTCATTGTCCAGCTTTCGCATGCATATGAGGTTATTGAAAATATAGTTTGGGTCAAGCACACCTTAGTCCTCAAACTAACATCTTTGCTCTTCAGCACTTTAAAGAGGTCTTGTGTGACAGATTTGCCTAATGCAATATGTCATTTGATTTCTTAACTGCTGTTTCCATAAGTGTTGGTAGTTGATCCAAGCAATATGAAAATGTTAACAATTTCAATATTTTCTCTGTTTATCTTGATGTTGTTTATTGATCCAATGGTGAGGATTTGTGTTTTCTTTATACTGAGGCACAACCCATACCTAAGGTTGCTGTCTTTGATCTTCAACAGTAAGTATTTTAAGTCCTCTTCACTATCAGCAAGCTGGGTTGTATCATCTGCATATCAAAGGTTATTAATGAGTCTTCCTCTTATAACAAAATTTTATTCTAAAATAAGAAATGGAAATAAAAAGGGGAAAAAAGGGATGCAGGTGAAGAATACAGATGTGTCCTGCATAATGCAAAAGAAATTAGACCCTGAGCAACTGGGAGCAGTACAACAGATGACAGTGGATACAGATCTTACATAAGAGTTAGAATCCTGGATCCTGCAGTGTATGGGATAGGATGAGGTGAGATTTTCTTTTAGGTGCAAAGGTTTACTAGATAGGACTTGGATGTTGTTGTTAGGAGCCATCAGATTGGTTGCAATTCACAGTGACCCTATGCACAACAGAACAAAACATTGCCTGGGCCTGCCCCATCCTCACAATAGTTGTTATGCTTGAGCATATTGATGCTGCCACTGTGTCATTCCATCTCTTTAAGGGTCTTCTTCTTTTTCCCTGATTCTCCACTTTACCAAGCCTGCTGTTCTTCTTCAAGGTCTGATACTCCCTGATAATGTATCTGAAGTATGTCATTCTGGCATCTAAGGGGCATGCTGACTATACTTCCAAGATTGAGTTGTCTGTTCTTCTGGCAGTCCATGGCACTTTAATTATTCTTCTCCAACACCATAATTCAAATGCATCAATTCTCCTATGGCCTTCCTTATTTATTGTCCAACTTTTATATGCACATGATGCTATTAAAAATACCATGCTTTGAAAAGGAGGAGAGGAATTGATTTTGCAGCCCAGGATGATCCCTGGGACCATCAAGCGAGAAGAGTGGAAAGTGTGAACCTACCAAGAGAGGCAGTGAGGCCAGGCTTGGAGACAGAGATGATGGTGTGGACAGATGGAGTGGCTGGGAACACGGGACTCAGGGAGGGAGAGGAGCTGTTTGCTGACAGCCAAGGGGGATGGGCCGATGGGGTATATCCTTGAGTTATTTGATGATGCATGAAGGGGATTGTAATCATTGCAATTAAATGAAATACAATAGGATGAATATGAAGCTGAAGTGGGACAGAGGCAAATAATGATGTATGCACAACCTTGGAACAACAGGGCTCTGGGTTACAGAGATTGAGACATGTTTGGAATGGGGAAATGGGAGGAAATAATGTTAAGATGCTTGGGTGTCTTTTGAAACTTGGTTTCCCTGGCATACCACTATAAAATAGACACTGGAGGGGTAGAGAAAGGAATAGCCAGAAATACCACCACAGAAAGCTTGTAAGTCATCGTCTACCTATAACTGATTGGAATAGCTAAAATGCGGCTACAATGTGCCCAGTGAAGGAGGCTTCCAGCAGAGCCTCTGCATTACACAAGACCATAGGTGGAATCCTGAGCAGCAGCCAGAATCTTCTGAGGGGAAATTTCAACTTGAAAGGACAAGTAGACAAGCCTGGAGTGGTCAGAACAGCAGATACTTCTTGAAAGAAGACTGATAGGAAAACTACAAAACAATATAGGCAGACTGACTGATTACTTCAAGAACAAACAAGTGCCTCACCCAGGAGACATCAAGGCAAGTGGTCGGGTCCCCCTCAGGGCAAACCCACGTCTAAGAATAAGACTCAGAGGGAATACACGCTCTGATTGGTGACCACATTCATCACCGATAATGGGAAGTGAGGGAAAAACAGCAATGAAGCTACAAGCTAAGCCGTACAATGTTCAATAGACTCCTGTGAACCTGGCTGGAGACCTGGTTGGCCAGCAGTGTGACTAGACCTGGAGATTCTTGGGTCCAGAGTCAATGACATAGCCACAGAGAACTAGAGTGGAGAATGAAGTGATTGGAGGGGCTTGTAACCAGGAAATGCTATACGATGGGATCAATGTGAAGCTAATGTCCTCCCATGTAAACTATCATATAATTCACAAAAAAGCATTTTTAAAAAAATACCATGCTTTGAGTCCTCAAACTAACATCTTTGCTCTTGAACACTTTGAAAGGTCTTGTGCAGATTTGCCTAATACAATATGTCATTTGATTTAGACAAGGACATGTAATCAGAGATACCATTGCTAATGTAAGATGGATCTTGGCTGAAAGCAGGGAATACCAAAAAGCTGTTTTTCTGGGCTTTTTAACTATGTAAAGGCTTTACACTGTGTGGATCAATACAAACTATGGGTAACACTGTGAAGAATGGATATTCCAGAACACTTAATTGTGCCTATGAGGAACCTGCACATAGATCAAGAGGCAGTTGTTCAAAAGAACAAGGGGGCACTGAATGATTTAAAAATCACAAAAGGTGTGTGTCTGGATTGTATTCTTTCACCATATTTATTCAATTTGTATGCTGGGCAAATAATCTGAGAAACTGGATTATATAAAAAGAATGTGGCATCAGGATTGCGATATGCAGATGATGTGACTTTGCTGAAAATGAAGAGGAGTTAAAATACATAAGATGAAGCTCAAGACCACAGCCTTCAGTATGGGTTGCATCTTAATGCAAAGAAAATAAAATCCTCACCACTGGACAAATAAATAGCCTCATAATAATGGAGAAAAGATGGAAGTTCCAAAGACTTTATTTTGCTTGCATCAACTACAAATACTCATGGATGCAGCAGTCAAGAAAGGGCTTGGCTATGGCAGCAAAAAAGGAACTTGTAAATTCCCCTCCCCTTAATCCAACTAACCCATCTACCACAGACACAAGAGACTAGCACCCTCAAGGGATCCCAGATAGCATGTAACCAAAGAGGGTTTAGAGGCCAGGCAGACTAGTGACAATGCAGTCCTCTGGGATCTTTGGGTCAGAGATGCATCGTCCCATTAACCTCACATCAAACCTCATGAGGATGTTGTTGTTAAGTGCCATTGAGTCAGTTCCGACTCATAGTAATCTTATGTAGGGTTTCCAAGGAGAAGCTGGTGGATTTCAACTGCCAACTTTTAGGTTAGCAGTCCTGTGCTTATTCTGTAGCACCACACCAGGACTGGTAGGTATCAGCATTATAAATGTGCACATTGCTATGAGGAGAAATTAGATACTTTGGGATAACTTCCCTGGCTAGTTTTCAGGTGACATGGCCTGGTTCTCTGACTGTTATTAAAATCTGTCTCTCCAATGCATAACATTTCTTATCAAAACTAAGCTGAAATGTCCCCACTTCTCTCTGCACCACCAAACACCAGAAGGTGTAGGCCATTGTCTACAGTGGAGGCACCACCCTGTGCCACAGAGTGGATTCCCACTCATAGTGACCCTATAGAATAGAGTGGGACTGCTCCCTAGCATTTCTGAGACTGTAGATCTTTATGGAAGCAGACAGCCTCATTTTTATCCTGTACAGTTTTATCAGCCTCAGGGGATCAATATGACACTAATTCAAAAGGCAGAAAGTGAAAAAAAATTTCACTTTTATTAAAAAGAATTTTCTTTTATTAAATACAGGCTGATTTAGTAATACATACCTAAACACAAGGGTGGTGTGGTCCATACTCCTTCTAAACAAAAAGCATCCCTCGATCCTTGTAGGAAATGGTGTTCGAAGCAGCTGTATACTACTGAGGAGCCATTTTCATAGGGGCCAGCTGTTGAACTCATAATGACACCATTTTTAATAAGTGGAGGAGGCGCACACATTCCTTTAGATTCTGAAAAATAATGTTAAATGTATATGATGAAGTAATTGCTGTAGCGAGCCTCTAGTGCTTCTATAGTTTCCATAGAAGCAAGATTTTTTTGGTAGCAACATTTTTAAGGCAGTTCTCAAATACATTTTGATGATTTCAAGCGTTTCTGAAATAATTTCGTATAATACACAGTATGACAATTAGAATCTCACATTATAATATTTCCACCAAAATGTATTTTTAATTACCAACGTGTTATAATCATGAATTTTATTGTTTCCTATATATCTAGCCAAAAGTGCAAGCATTTAAGAAACTCCTTTTAAGTCATGCTTTCTTCAGGCATTCACTTCCTTTTATTCTTATTCTTTAAAAAACAAAAAAACAAAAAAAAAACACTTGTCTCCACCTCCAGGAGCAGGCAACTCTGCCTAGAGAGGAAAGCGGCCACTCTGCCCTTCCACTACAGTTTTCTCTCACCCAGCCTCAGCCCTTCTCTGAGACAATGAGCCCTAGGAAGCTCTGAGGAAAACAACATATTTCATGACTGTTCTGGTGGGTTGTTCAATTCTTTGATGTTTTTGTTGTGGTTAAGTGCCACCAAATCAGTGCCAACTCATAAGGACCCTGTATAGGGTTTCCTAGTGTGGCTGGTGGGTTTGACCCACTGATGTTCTGCTTAGCAGTTCACTGTTTAACCTACAGCATGACACCGGGACTCCAGGGCTACAGTGACACACCAGCTTGTGGAAAATTGAATTCTTTGATAATCTGGTGATATTTATAGAACCTCTTTTTAAAAAATTGTTTTTTATTTCATAAAATTGACTGTTAGAACCAAAAGGTGTCTTAGCATAGTCATTCTATTCAACTGTGTGAACTGACTGAATACAGATTGAACCACTGACCCTGTTATAGATTAGAAGATGGTGGTAGTGAGTTGCTGACAATCTTATACTTTCAGCTGAACTGAGAGGTAACTATCAAGTAAGGAATTTTCAGAAAGCAGTATTGTTTTACCTTTTTTAATGCATGCGGGATATTTCACTTCTCCTCTATTACACTGCACGGATAACTCAGACAGTGGGGTGGATGGAGATAAGTCATATCCCTGTTTACATACAAAATCAATTAAATCTCCATGTAACACTTTTCCTTCATATTTCCACTTCATCTCTATGTTATTTCTGTTCATGTGATCCACACTTATAGCACATGGCTCTGAAAGACAAAATGCTCCTTTAAATTCTCCACTCATCTAGTAAATATGCAAGTCATATATTTTTAAATAAAAATTATGAGAGCCATAAAATGCTATTTTATAATAGTTGATATTTATCACTATTAAAGCTCATCACACACACATATATATGTAATGAAGTATATACAGTCTTACTATCAAATTAATTTATAAATTATTTATTGTCTACAAAACAAGTTCACTGTCGCCAAGTCGATTCTGACTCATGAGTTCCACATACAACAAAGTAGAGCTGCCTTACAGAATTGTCTTGGCTGTAATCTTTATGGAAGCAGATCTCCAGGTGTTTCTTTTGTGGTGTTTGTAGGTCAGTTTGATTATTACAAAAAGCTGGTTGCAAAATACTTGCACCATCCAGAGACAAAGAATAACAAAAATCATTTCATTTGAAGTATTAGAAATATAATTCAAGGCCATCCGCCAATTCTGTTAGCCATAATTTGTTTTCTATAAAATAAAACTTTGTAACATAGAGTATATTCACTGTATATATTCTGCCAGAAAGTGTTCCAGTCTTTTACAAAGCAAAGATTTCAGCCTTCATGGAACTTATCTTCTAAACAAAGCAACTAGGAACAAATCTGATAAGTGTGTGAATTTTATAATGCATTAGAATTTGTGACTTCCTGTGCACTACAACAGATGGTAAGATAGAGGGGGAGAGAGAAGTGGAAAGGAGGAGCTATCAGAAGGAGAAAGGGAGGTTACACTTTGAAATAAGGTACTGGGTACACCTAAATCAGAAATGACAATATACACAGATTGGAAGACTGGTAGGGAGTGAACTATGTCATTTTCTGTGGGGAAAGCATTCCTGTCAGAGGAGACAGTCAATGCAAAGGCCCTGAGGTGAGAGTATGTTTGGCTTACCTGTTTATAAAAGTCACATGTTCAATGAGCTGTTTTGACAAGGGCAGATTAAAGGGTTTTAAATATAATTCTGGTGAGCAAAGTTAAAAATCGAGGCAAATATATGGACTAAGATAAGCAGTATATATTATTTTCAGCATTATGTCAATTTAAATAGTTATTTTGATAAGTGTCTCAATTTTCCATTTGAAACATGAAAATTCCTTGTATCATACCCTATTCCAAAATGCCTTCAGGGTAGCTTACAAACATACATGTTGTTGTTAAGTGCCGCCAAGTCAGTTCCAACTCATAGGGATCCTGTATAGAGTTTCCAATGAGCGGCTGGTGCATTTGAACCGCTGACCTTGTGGTTCAAACCGACCTTGCAGTCCAGTACATTATCCCACTGCACCACACGAAGACTCCACAAACATATAATCAACAAGATATAATAAAAGTGGTCATCCAGGTGAGGAAATTGTTCAGAAGTGCTATTAGCAATATGCTCTCACCAAGGAAAGAACTGCATTGATTTTATATATATATAAAAAAAAATTAAAAAAAAATATATATATACAGATCATATTCTGAGGACAATAGAAGCAGACATCAAAGGTTTTATCACAGGGAAGACTTCAGTTGGAAGAAAAATAACAAAAATATAATGAGGGAAGAACTAATATAGCCCTGTTGTTGTTGTTGTAAAATGCCATTGAATTAGCTCCAAACTATAGCTACCCTGTATAGGGTTTCTGAGGAGCAGCTGATGGGTTTGAACTTCCAACCTTGTGATTCACAGTCCACTATTGATCCTACAGCACCACACCAGGGGTCTTGGAATCTAAAATATTATGGATTTTCTGCTCAAAGAATTGAAGGAGAAGGAAACATTGGAACAAATTTATACAAATAATCATTTATATGGTATAAAGCATTATAAGATAATCACATGAAATATAAATGTAATAGTAAAGAAAATTCAGAGTGCTGTATATCTTACCTAAGCAAACAGGTAGAGCTGTCCATTTTCCTTGTTCACAGTGAGACGTCTTTGATCCCCTCAATAAATAATATTCATTGCACCTATATTCCACTGAGGATCCTGTTGTGTAGCTTGCCGATAATTCACCCACAAGAGCCCCATTTATCACATCAGGTGGTGGTTTACAGTTCTCAGTGTTTTCTAAGAAAATTGTTAATTTTTAAATTAACATGAATGTATAGCTACATAATGATATAATACAGTTAACCATACATAGTTCATAAAAACAAAACAAAAGTACCAGTTCACTTTCAGTTTGACCTTTGGTGGCCCATGTGATACAAGCTTGATCTGTATTCCATGAAGTTTTCAAGGCTATGATCTTTCAGGAGCAGATCACCAGGCATTTCTTCCAAGACACCTCCAGGTGGGCTTGAACCACCAGTCTTTCAATTCATAATCAAATGCTTACCTATTTGCCTTAGGGATTCCTCAATATGGGCACTATGTCATTTAGGACAATTGACTCATGGGTTCATTGGAAATGAGAGAAAATTTATATAACAAAAATAGTTTTAAAATTTACTAAGAAAGAACAAGCTATGAATGTTTAACCTAAGAGAACAAGTATGCTTTTCCCCTCACTTTTCTTGATGTGAAGAAACTATGAAACAGACATTCTTAACATGTGTAAAAAAGAGAAACAGTACTCAAACTAATTATTGTCAATTCTAAAATACCCATTAGCACTATTCACTTTTACAAGGGGGTTTCAAAAGTCTCTGGGAAATTGAATTAAAAGATAATGGAATCTCGCCATGAATTTCTTGAACACCCTCTTATTTTGCCTCTCATTCTCATCCTGGGTGAATTCTGCTAATCAACCCATGGATGATATTTCCAAGACTCTCTTAAGAGTCTCTCTCTTATTCTGCTAATATTATGTCTTTTGTATGTAATATAATTTGGGTTTTCTTTGCAATAAATACTCTAGGAAATGTTGTGAATATCTCTCCAGGATCTTCTTAAGAAAAGAGGCCAATAGGAAGGGTAGCATCCAGGGGTGACAATGTTGCCTCGTGGTGTCCTTCAGTGGAAGACCAGGGACATGTTTTAGAAGGCTATCTTGTTCAAAATGTTTAAAGTAACATTAGCAAAACTGACTCAAAGTCAGGAACAGAGTGCTCTGTTCTAACTTTGCAAGGCATGCCAATAGCAAGCTGCCCAATCCAATGTGTCCTTATTTCCATTAGAAATAAAGCACATCATGGAGTCTTGGTGTGGTGCTATGGGTTAATAAACTGGATTGCAAAGTTGGTTTGAACCACAATGTCAGCAGTTCAAGCTCACTAGTTGCTCCTCGAAAACCCTATACAGAGTTTCTATGAGTTAGAACCGACCGACTGGAAGGTACTTAACAACAACAACAACAAAAGTACATGATCGCTTTTGTTCTGTCATTTAAAGCCTTAGGTCTTGGAGTCAAACCTATCACATGACAGTGCCTACCACAAATGTGCATTCAAAAATGTTTAGCTTCTTTAAAAGAAGCATTAGTTGCTGTCAAGTTGACCCTGACTCATGGTGACCCCATGTATGTCAGAGTAGAACTGTGTCCATAGGGTTTTCAGTGGCTAATTTTCTAGAAGTAGATCACCAGACCTTTCTTCCAAGATGCCTCTGAGTGGACTCAAACCTTCGACCCTTTGGTCAGCTAAAATTCTACAGACAATGTCATATACAAAACAGTAACAGAATATATGAAGTGTTAATTTGTTTCTAACTTTTCTAAGCAGCTTCCTCTGATTACCATTATATGAATTCAATAAACAGACTGTAACATTTTCATACAATGAGTTTAGCTATTGATATTAAATGTAGCTTGCATACCAACACACTCAGGGGGATGTGTCCATGTTCCATGTTTACAAGTTAACTCGTTTGATCCACGGATGTGGTAGCCATTTTCACATCGATATGTCACTGTATCTCCATTGTAATAAGTTTTAGAGTGTAAGTTTGCTGCACCATTCTCAACTAGGGGTGGTTCCTCACAGGTGATCTTCTCCTTCACTTCTGAAAAGGTACAATTTAAAGAGCAAAGACCATTTAGTTGTACATGCAGATCTTGTTTTAGGAAAATCTTACTCAAAATATTGCTAACCAATGCATTTTGGAGGTTCTGTCCATTTTCCTTTTTCACAACGTATTTCTTTTGACCCCTGAATCTCAAAATTAAGTTCGCATTCTATATGAACAATTTCTCCATGACGATACTGTATTGGATAAGTTTCAATTCTGGAATTTAGTGGCAAAGGTGGAGGAGGACATCTATTTCTTCTTCCTTAAGGGGAAAAAATGTATTTTCAGTCATATAAATACAAACATGATAGTTATAATTTAATAAGCATGTTCAAGGAGCTCTGATGGCACAGTGGGTTAAGCAGTGGGCTGCTAATCAAAAGATCAACAGTTCAAACTAACCAGTCAGAGGGCTCTGAGGGAAAAACATGAGGCTGAGTGCATGAATGAAGATCGCAAGGTTGGGAACCTTGAGGAACAATTCTACTCTATTCTATAAGGTCACTATAAGTTGGAATTCTCTCAGTGCAGTGGACTTGCTTTGGAGTTTTGGTTTTTTAATTTTCAACATGCCAAGCACCATAGCAAGTATATTAGATAGACTCTAGGGAAACTCCCATGATCCTGACTCTTGGTGATCACTCCTTTGTGATACCACTCCCCTTGAGTAACATGCTTCTAATAGAATGCAGCAAGACCTGTTAGAAGATTATGTATAGAGTTATGCATGCATGATCATGTTAGATAATATTGTACTTGCTGAAAGATTCTCTCCTATGATGGTTGTGAAGGCACAAATTCCCACATTGTGAGCTGTTGAACAGAGAGGGCCTCCAGCTAAAATTTAGCAAGAAACAGAGGCCCTCAGTACCACAGGCCGCACAGCGCAACAACGTGTTTGGAAGCAGGCTCTTGTCCAGTCAGGCCTCAGAAGACACTGTAGACCCAGCGGACACCTTGACAGTAGTTAGAGCCTCAAGCAGAGAATTCAGATCATCTGTGTCCAGACTCTTGGCCCACTGAAACTGTGAAATAAGAACAGTGTGCTGCTTTGAGCTGCTAAATATATGCTAACATCATTATACAGCAATAGAAAATTAAAACAGAAAGCATTATATATTCATTATTGCCTTTTTTCCCAGAATGACTTTGTCAAGGATTATCATTTCTTCTACATTATAGATAAATAAAATAAAATTTAAGAAGTAAATTATTAGTACCTGATGGATTTGTTCTTGAATTCATGTCTATCTGAATTCTAAACTCAAGTTCTTAACTACTTATTCTAAAATATGCCTGGTATTAGTCTCCTAATGATGTTACAACAAATGACCACGGTTTAGTGGCTTAAAGCAGCATAGATAGTTTTATTTTCTTATAGTTCTAGAGGCCAAAAGTCCAAAACCAGCTTCACTCAGGTAAAGTCAGTGTTAGCAAGGCTGTGTTTCTTCTGGGACGTCAGTGGAGAGTTGATTATTTCGCCATTTGTAGCTTCTGTAGGCTGCCTGTAATCCTCTGATTATGCTTTCTTCTTCCTTATATACACACAACCTCCTGCTTCCATTGTCACACGCCCTATTCCTTTTCTGCAGTCAGATTTCCCCCTGCTTCAGGGGCTTCTCAAAGTCATGGGCAAAGGGAATTAAAAGATAATGGATTTTTTTCCCCATAACTTTTTGAAGCCCACTCGTACAAGGACACTTGATATTACATTTATGACCCAGCCAGAAAATCCACGGTAATCTCCTCATATCAAGTACCTTAATTTAATCACATCTACATAATTATTTTACCATATCTAGCAATCTTCACTGGTTCCAGATATTCAGATGTATACATGTTGGTCCTAGGGTAGCGGCATTAATATATCACATTGCCTATTTTACATCTAATGAATATGTCCTTCGAGAATAGTAAGCATACTGTTGTACTGCCTATTTTGGAGGGGCTAGGGGAGGTGGTACAATGGTTGAGCACACAGCTGTTAACTAAAAGGTTACCGGTTCAAATCCACCAAATGGCTCTGTGGGAGGAAGAACTGATGATCTATCTGTTACTGTCAAGATTATGGCCTAGAAAACACTGTGGATAGTTCTCTTGTATCCCATGAGGTGCATATGAGTAGAAAATCAATTCAACGGCACCTAACAACAACCAAATGGGGTGGTGAGTTGTCTCTCTCTAAGTAGATCTATCATTTATTTTTAAATAACATGCTTCAGAAAACTAGTAAACAATTTGCCTCTCAACTGCAATAAGGATGTTGATCATGACTGAAAAATCATAAAATCATGACAGCTATTGTTTAATACATTTATAGGCTTGTGGTAAGTAAGGGAAATTGTATTGTATGTCTCTAGTCGATTCCCTCTTGGATTTCTCCCAGTAACTATTCCGCATCTTCACTTCTCTTGTAAATTTCCCTTCACTTCTTGCTCCTGCCTCCAAATAATGACTCTGCATCCTACATTACACAGAAAATAGAGATTTATCAAGCCTTTTCCTTTCCCCCATCCCTCCCATCCCTCAAATCCCCATAATTAAGATCCTATTCAAATATTATCCATTGCTTCTGTGAGCACCAACCCAGACCATACTAAACAGAACCTTGAATGCTTATTTATGCATTTTGTACCTGACTTTGTTACAGCATTTGTCATGCTTTATCAAGTATTTGTTTTCATACTTTTTTCCTCTGTGAAGCCAGGAGATCCTTCACATCACATTGTATATGTGTGTAAATGACTATGGACTTGGTGTCTTCAGAGAGGTAAACAAACTACCTGCCTGAACACTTCCAATGACAGAAAGTTAATGACAGCCAGGAGAATTTTGAGCTGCTCTTATTAATAGATGATCTTGTTTTTCCCATTTTCACTCTGGGTAGTAGTCTGCTGTTCTTTCTGAACTCTACTCCACTGTTTAGAATTGTATTTTCACATCAAGAAATATGTGGTCCAATGAGAAACTATCCTCCCAAAGTTAGTGTACCTTGGTCCCAGTCATTCCCAATGGAGAAAGTGATTCATTTAATGAAAAAATTAAAGATACATTTACTCTGTAAACTAAAACAAACAAGATTGCTTCAGATGAAATATATTAAAGATTTCTGAAAATTTCACTTAAGAAATAGAATTATGAAAGATAGTTGTTGTTTTTTCAGAACTCTTAGCGATGAAAGCTAGCTTGTTTTATAAGTGTGAAATAATAATAATAAAATACCTTCACATATAGGAGATTCTGGGTACCAACCAAAATTATAACATTGAATTAAATCAGATCCACTTAGATAGTAATTTTCATGACAGAAAAACTGAACTACATCTCCTTCTTCATACGTTTGCTTTACAGGATGAAAATAACCATTTTCTATTAATCTTAAAGATGAGCACCTTAATTCTGAAAATAAAAGAATAAATAAAAACAATTAAATTCAATTTTTTCTTCTAGAACAAAATTCATGTACTATATACATGCTATGCCTAGAGTAGAAATGAATAACATTTATATAATCTGTTTTAAATAATAAAACCATATGAGTTAATTATAAATATGTATTGTTGTTAAGTGCTGTCGAGTCAATTCCTACTCACAGCAACTCTCTGTAGGGCTTCCAAGGAGCAGCTGGTGGGTTTGAACTGCCAACCGTGTAGTTTGCAGTCCAGTGCTGATCCACAGCGCCATACCAGAAGTCCATGTAGATGTAAATATAGATATATAGGTAAGTATATAAGTACTAAATATAACAGGCTTATTTCAATTTAATTATGTGAACTGAAAGGAAATTTTCCTACTTAAGAACTTTAAATGATCAAAGACTATTATAAATAATAGCTAAAACCAGAAGGATAAAAATATCTGTGAAACCTGGAACGTATGTATATGACAACTGATAAACACTTTTGCATGAAAGGGAGTTTTCAAAGTGAAAATAGATTGCATTCAAAATGAGAGAGAACCTACTGGTACATTTTGGTGTGAGAGACCATCCATGTTTGTGACATTGTACCTCCTCCGTCTTCTTTCCTCCAGCTGTGTAATAGCCAGTAGCACATTCATATTGTACTTTGTCATTCACTTTGAATGTTTTCTGTGTTGTGGAATAATTTCCATGATCTAATTCAGGGGTCATACATGTTTCTGAAAAAAAAACAAAAAAAAAAAACGGATTTTATTTGACAAACATTATGACTAAACTTAGAATACTAAAAATAGAATTCTCAAAATGCATTTTTATAGACCCTTAACTCATAGCACTATTAGCCCGCAGCATAGTTACGAATAGACAAAGTTTGTCTTTTCCTCTTTCTTCACTTTTTTTTTTTAATACACCTTGTAGCTTGACTTGACCAGTCTTCTACTCTTAACATTTTGTCAAAAAACATGTATTTGACAAAAGGCCACAGTTCAAATGAAGATTTATGAAGTGATCATTATTTTATTATATGTCATGTAGGGAAATGTACAGTGTAAATAGTTTACAAGCATCCTAAGAAAATATATGTATTCAAATTATTTTATTATTTAAGTATATCTAGCCTCAGTTTAAGTATTCCTGGTGATTCAATGATTAAACGCTCATCTGCTAGACAAAAGGTTAACAGTTCAAACCTATCTAGTATCTCTGAGGGAGAATGACCTGGCAATCTACTTTTCTTAAGATTATTGTTGTTAAGTGCCATTGAATCACTTCCAACCCATAGTGACCTTGTATGGGGGTTCCAAGGAGCAGCTGGTGAGCTTGAACCACCGATCTTACTAATTAAAACAACTTTTCAATCCAATACATGAACCCACAACACCACACCAGGACTCTCTAGAAAACCCTATGGGGCACTTCTACTCTGTTCCATGGAGTTGTTATGACTCAGAAAATGGCTTAATGGTACCTAACAACAACAGCACTGGTTTCCAACGTAAAATAGTGTGCATGAGCTCAAGTTCTTCTCTAATAAATGTAACAGAAATCTATATAAGTGGCAAGAAATATGTTAATTAAGATTCATTAATTTTTTCCACTCCAATTCCTTTTTTTCCCTTAATTTATATTTTTTATTGTTTTATTGTGAATTATGTGATAGTTTACATGGGAGAACATTAGTTTTACATTCATCCTATTGTATATCATTTCATTGCCATGGTTACAATCTCCTCCATGCATCATCAACCAACCAAACAAAGGATATATCCTACAAGCTTGCATCCTCCCCAACCTCCCAGTCGTCAGCACAAAGCCCCTCTCCCATTTTGGGTCTAAAGTCCCCAGCTGCTCCATCTCTCCATGTCATCGTCTCTGCCTCCATCTCAGGCATCACTGCTTCTCTGGGTAGGGTCCTGCTCTCCTCTCTTTTCCCTTCATGGTCCCAGGAACCTCTGCTCCTAGACTACAAAGTTAATCACACCCCTTCTTGGTACAAAACATCTGCCTTTACATTTCCAACCCTCACAAGCAGTTCTGATAACAATTATTCACTATTGTATCACAAGAGACCTATCCACATTTCCTTTCATTAGCCCTGCCTAGACAGATTGGATACTACTCAGTGGAGATTCTAGCTTCCTCCACTCCCTCTGAATCCAGGTTCCCTCTTGAAAGCTTGTAAGCCAGTCACTTCTTGCCTTTGAAGCACCCCCAATTTGGGTAGCCAATGTCCAAGTTGCATATCTCTGTCTACTCTGTATGGAGAGAGTGGGTATGATCCTCACTGTAAAGATTTGTTCCCTTTTTTGAGCTACTGCATCCATAGGTGTAGGTCAAGTTCATCAAATTGTATCAGATTACTCTTTTTTCCCTCTTCTTTCTTCTTCTAGTTGCACCCTGATCATCCAGTCATTGAAGCCAGGTCAAGTGGGTATTATTTGCAAGTGTGGGTGTTCTTGTGCATATGCCCTCTCTTCTTATCAGCTGGACTCTTCATTCTCCACTTTAGTCCTTTGTGGCTATGTCACTGACTCTGGACTAAAGAGTCCCCAGTTCTTGCTGCAATGCTGGCCAACCAGGTCTCCACCTGGGTTCACAGGAGTCTATTGAACATTGTAGGGCTTAGCTCGCCGCTTCATTGCTGTTTTTCCCACACTTCCCCTTATCGGTGCTGAACGTGGTCACCAATCAGAGCATGTATTCCCATTGAGTCTTAGTCTTGGAAGGGGGTTTGTTCTGAGGGGACCTGACACTTGCCTTGATGTCTCCTGGGCAAGCAACCTGTTTGCTCTTTCAGTAATCAGTCGGTCAGCCTATATTGTTTTGTATTTTGTCTGTCAGTCTTTCTTTCAAGAAGTATCTTCTGTTCTTCTAGTCACTCCAGGCTGGTTTGCCCATCCTTTCAAGAGGAAATTCCCTACCTCTGAAGATTCTGGATGCTGTTCAGGATTCCACCTATAGTCTTACGTAATGCAGAGGGTCCACAGGAAGCCTCCTTCACTGGGCATGTTGTAGCCCCATATTAGGTATTCCAATCAGTTATAGGCAGATACTCCTTTCTCTCCACTTTCAGTGTCTATTTTAAAATGTAATGCAAGGAAAACCAAGATTCAAAAGACACCCAAGCATTTTAACATGATTTACTCCCTTTTCCCCATTCCAACCATATCTCAATCCCTGTATCCCAGAGCCCTGTAGTTCCAAGGTTGTGCATACATCACTATTTACCTCTGTCCCACTTAGCCCATGCAAACCTGCCTAATTGTTCTCCCATCCAATTAGTTCCTCCATTCCCCTCTCCCTTCTTGTTTATTGCCCCCTTCCCCTGTGTCTGTTCCTTGCCCAGTTCTCCACCTTCCTGTCCCTCCCTGAGCCCCATCCCCCACATCCCAGCAACCAGCAAAGAATCCACGCCCCCCTTTAGTATGTGTTCTTTTTCATAGTCATTTACAGTAGTGGTCCTATGCAGTATTTCTCTTTTTGTGACTGACTAATTTCACTCAGCATAATGTCCTCAAGATTCAGCCATGTTATGCGGTGGCTTGCAGCTTCTTTATTCTTCTTCAAGGTAGCATAATATTCCATTGTGTGTATGTACCACAGCTTGTTTATCCGTTCTTCAGTTGATGGGCACTTTGGCTGTCTCCATCTTTTTTGCTATTGTAAATAGTACTGCTATGAACATTGGTGTGCATATATGTTCTCGTGTTGTGGCTTGTATTTCTTGTGGGTAAATACCAAGTAGAGGAAGTACTGGATCATAAGGTATTTCTATTTCCAACCTTCTGAGGAAGTGCCATATTGCTTTCTAGTTAGGTTGGACCATTTTGCAGTCCCACCAGCAATGCAGGAGTGTCCCAGTCTCTCCATATCCCTGCCAGCATTTATTGTCCTTCACTTTTTTGATCTTTGCTGTTATTGCTGGTATGAGATGATATCTCATTGTTGTTCTGATTTGCACCTCTCTAATGACTAATGATTGTGACCATTTCTTCATATGTTTGTTGGGTGCCTGGATCTCCTACTTGGTACAGTTACTGTTCATGTCCTGTGCCCATTTTTTAATTGGGTTATTTGTCTTGTTTTTGTAGATGTGTTGTATTTTCCTATATATTTTAGAAATGAGTCCCTTGTCTGATGTGTCATTGCAAAAGATTTTTTCCCTTTCTGTGGGTTCCCATTTTTATTCTTCTGGTGAAGTCTTTTGATGCACATAAATTTTTAATTTTTAGTATGTCCCACTCATGTATTTCGTCCAATTTTGTTTGTGTAGTTTTCAAAATGTTTGGTAGTCTGTGTAGTCCCTGAATTAGTGCCCTCACATTTGTCCTGATTTTTTCATTGATGGCCTTCATAATTCTGGGATTCACATTTAGGTCTTTAATCCATGTTGAGTTGGTTTTTGTATATGGGGTGAGGTGAAAGTCTTGTTTCAATCTTTTACATATCACTTTCCAGTTCTGCCAGCACCATTAGTTGAACAGACAATCACCTCCCCATGCGATATATTTAGGTGTTTTATCAAAAATCTGTTGGCTGTATGTAGATGCGTTAATTTCTGGATTCTCAAATCTGTTCCATTGATCATTGTATCTTTCATTGTACCAGTACCAGGCTGTTTTGATCACTGTAGCCATGTAGTAAATTTTGAAGTCGGGGAGTGACAGGCCTCCAACCTTATTCTTCTTCTTAAGCAGTATTTTGCTTATCCTGGGTCTCTTTCCTTTCCATATAAAGTTTGTAATTGTTTTTTCCATCCCTTTGAAGAATGTGTTGTTGGAATCTGGATTGGGATTGCATTGTATGTGTAAATTGTCTGGGTAGTATTGACATTTTCACAATGTTACGTCTTCCTATCCAGGAGCATGGTACCTTCTTCCATTTTTGTAAGTCTCTTTTGGTTTCTTGTAGTAGTGTTTTGCAGTTTTCTTTGTATAAGTCCTTTGTTTCTCTGGTTATATTTATTCCTAGATATTTAATCCTTTGGGTGGCTATTATAAATGGTATTGCTTTCCTCATGTCCTTTTCAATGCTGTCATTTTTGGTATAGAGGAATCCAACTGATTTTTGTATGTTAATCTTACATCCTGCAATTTTGCTAAATCTTCCCTTGAGGTCTAGTAGCTTTTTTACTGAGTCATTGGGGTTTTCTACGTGTAGGATCATATTGTCTGTAAATAGAGGGAGTTTTACTTTCTCTTTGCCAATTTGGATGCCTTTAATTTCCCTGTCTTGCCGTATAGCTCTTGCTAAGACTTCCAAAACAATACTGAATAGGAGTGGTGACAAAGGGCATCCTTCTCTGGTTTCTGTTCACAGAGAGAAGGCTTTCAGTTTCTCTCCATTGAGTATGATGTAGGCTCTTGGTTTTGTATATATGCTCTTAATTATATTGAGAATTGCCCTTCAACTCCTATTTTGTTGAGTGTTTTTATCAGGAATGGATGTTGTATTTTTTCAAATGCTTTTTCTGCGTCAGTCGATATGATCATGTGGTTCTTTTCTTTTTTCTTATTTATATGGTGGATAACATTGATCATTTTTCTAATGTTGAACCATCCTTGCTTCCCTGATATAAATCCCACTTGATCATGATGTATTAGCTTTTTGATGTGTTGTTGGATTCTGTTGGCTAGGATTTTGTTGAAAATTTTTGCATCTATGTTCGTGAGGGATAGTGGTCTATAATTTTCTTTCTTAGTGACGTCCTTCCCTGGTT